AGCACTAGGGCACTGCCATTTGCATCAGGCATGCTGTGTGACAAATATGCCAAGCTACGCGCGACTTGATTTGTTTTAGGTGGCGGAGGTCAATATTGTAGCTAGTGCCGCGCTCGCTTTATCAGGCCATCAGCTGCATATCACGCCATGGACCTCACACTTGAGAAGGTAGACCCCACTGTAAAACCCAGTTGTAAGACCCCAAGTCTTACAGCGGGTCAGCGGGGGTGGATCTGGCCCAGCACTCTGTCGACTTGGACGTTGTCAGCAACACCCTCTCCAGTTCAATCATAGAACTAGGAGATAACATGTATAAATTCTTTCAAACTCCCCTTGGGGTGTTGGATACATACCTCCCTCTCTTTCAACCGCTCTTTTTCATCGGAGGACGCAAATTCTCATTGGAAAGCTGTGATAAAGGCATCCCCTGTATCGAAGGGACTCTCGAAACGATATTACAACTTTGCGCTGCCGTTAAGCAATGCGGTGACATTGTGCTTAGCTTGGTCCTTTACAGATATCATCATCATCATCATAATAGCACGTTATGTTGGGCTAGTTAGTACATATTAAGTTGAAAGACGTGGCACAAGGTTGCCAATGAGAAGAATGAGAAGAGACAGAAAGAGTGCCATACGCGCTTTTTCTGTCTCTTCTTGTTCTTCTCATTGGCAACATTGCACCACATATTTCATCATCATCATCATCATCATCAGGCTGACTGTTCGCGCTGCAGGACAAAGGCATCTCCGATGTTACAACAGTCAACTCGGTCCCACAAACTTCGTAATCTCATCTGCCCATCTAACTTTCTGTCCCCCCTTCACCACTTGCGTTCTCTGGGAATCTAGTCTGTGATCTTTAATGACCAGAAGTTGTCTTCCCTTTGCGCTAAGTGCTTTTCCCATAACCTTTTCTTCCTCTTGATTTCGACTGTGATGTCCTTAACACTTGTTGGTTTTCTGATACACTCTGCTCTCTTCTTATCCCTTAGGGTTTCACCTATCATTTTTCTCTCTATTGCTCGCTGCATCGTCCTCAACTTAAGTTTAACCCTCTTTACAGAAACGCCCTTGATCAAATAAAAGTTGTACATTTTTCTGAGAAATCTCTTCTGCGTCAGCACATTCTGGACGCCCATGAACCTTGGCATTGTTGTTGCAATAGGGGATGACACCGTTGCCGGCAATTGTGTAGCCGGCGTTTAAACAAAGGCCGGTTGGCACTCGTTGCTTAGGGGCACCACGGGAGTTACGCAGCTTGAATGCTATTTGCTTGCATTCAATAGCCAATACATTCGTCCGCCACAGGATACTAAGCTGCACGAATTCGGCTCCTTCCCAGATAAGCTTCCACATGTCATGCTTGTTAGGTGCCACTCCCTGTTCTTGTGACTATTCTCGTCCCAGCACAACCCCGTCTCATGCATAGACGCTGCCGACACAGGTCAGGCGTACACAGTTGCCAACGCGCCCACGGGGCACCACGTACACCTATCACTACCTCAGTTCCCACAAAGCTTCTCGTACTGGCTTATAGGCTCTCAGTATGGCAGAGCTCAAATTATAAGTCAAATTCTTCTACCATTCAAAGTTGTTTCCACTTCCTTTCAACCAAAAAGAACTTCAGTTGCACATGTTTTGTTAAAAAATATTGTGCAGGTTAGTTGGGTCATGACAAATATGCGTTGTAGTGTGTGTACATACTATTCAAATCAAATTTGAAGTGATTCAAACCAAATCACTATTTGCTTCGAACCTAAGTTTTGTGCGCTTTTTTCTCTGTCTCATGCTCTAATTATGCATGTAATGGTTATGGTGCTTGACCGTTGACCGAAAGGAATGAAGTCCTAGCTATGGCAACCACTTTTCGTTGCAGGCAAAATGCTGCAGCCCTTCACTATGGCATCTCTCATAATTGCAATGGGGTTTTTTAATGTATGAGAACACCAAGAATGGTTGCTAGAAATATTAATCCCCAAACATTGTTCACTTGGTGATCTCTAATGCAGCAGAGTAGAGTATCTGTAAGGTTTTAGGGGCGAAACTCCTTATGGCGTGGCTTGTGCGTCCCTCGTACTACGTAACAACCAGTGGCACATACCCGAAATAGGTATAACATTTGACCTCCAAGGTGGTGCCGGTGAGAGATTTCTTCTGTGTGTTGTTTAACAATAAAAAATAATACTCAATGTACATGCCAATGGCTGTTAATGGGGAATGAGAGACAGGATCATTCGGCTTTTAGTCAACGCGCACGCTGCGATCCCCATTAGCAGCCATTGGCATGTACATTGAGCACTATCGGACAAGAAAGGGTTGCTACATTATACTCGCTGGGTGTATATAACCTCCTTAGTTTTAGGAAGGTTTAGCGAGCGTTGAGCCGCATGACCATGAATACAATGAACTTGTATATACCATGAATGAATTCGAGGTGGTTAAAGGGGGGAAGCAGATACGAAGCGCAAGCCGCAAGAAATTAAAAGCTGAATCCACCTGTCTCTCATTTCACATTAGCAGCCACTGGCATGTACATTGAGCACTATCTGACAGGAAAAGGTTGCTACGTTATACTCGCTGGGCGTAACCTCCTTGGTTTTAGAAAGGTTTAGCGAGCATTGGGCCGCAGTGCCATGAATACAGTGAACTAGTATATACCATGAACTCAAGGTGGTTGAAGGTGGGAAGTAGACCCGAAGCGCAAGCCGTAAGAAAGTGTGCGTGTGCCACCTCTCGTTTAGTCCTTGGAATGTCCACTGAATGGCGGTGCTTCTATATGGGGAATATATGATAAAAGATGCGAGATGGTGGGACTTGGAGTGTTGAATAGATGGACGAACGGACACACAGACAGATGCATGTATGGACGCTTGAACGGACGCAGGGGCGGATGCATGAACGAACGCAGGGACGGGCGCACCAGGCGCATGGACGGTCACACAGACGGACGCATGGACGGACGAATGCTTCGCCCCACTCTCCATCATTCACTCCGTGTATATGCTGCTATTTTTTTCGAATGATGACACCTAACCTGGCATATTTGTTTATGTGAGAAGATTTACCATAACAATTGGAGGCTGGTTCGTGGATCAGTATTTCATTCCAGGCATTATCATATCGTACATAAGAGCATCTTTTTAGGCAAAATGAGTTGTCAATTAGTCAACAAATTAAAGTGCACATAGGGGATCTAGTGTATGAAAACATTGATTATATTTCACAAATCAGTGGCATTTGTGCCACTAAGATCGATGATGTTTAGATGAGGTTGTCAGTCCGAGTTGGACGTCAATCTAGTTTTTGTAAGTTTGTTTTAAGTGCCCTTTACATAGTCTAACGTAATGTTGATGCATGCGCATGCTTTTCAGAGCGATGGGTAATGCTAGTGGATGCGCAACAGTCTAAACTGTCCGGCATTCAGTGGTGTACCCTGCCTGCACAAAATGTGACAAGCTGCATTTCATGCCGGTGATGTTACCCAGACGCCACTGTGCCTGCGTCTCTTTGTAACAAAGGGTGCACACAAATGCGCATGGGTCAAGGTGACCTAGCATGGCGCACAAGGAAAGGTGCACGGTGTTCAGTTTTCTTGTCAGCGTCACAACATGGCATCACCAAATTTTATATATATCTTTTTCTGGGTGAAGGGGCCAGTCAAGCTGTGACATGCTAATTTTTTTTCTTTGCGTCTAACCTCGTATACAATGTGTTTTTATGTACTTGTCATGTGGCTGAATAAACTCAACTTCACCATTTATCGGCCAACATAGTGTTCATTTCACCAACTTCAGCCGCCGCTTGCCGATAACTCTAAGTCGGGCGATAAAAGGTTGATTTGAGTTTATGTAACAGTGCGACAAACACATAAAAACCCATTGTATACATGGCTAGGTGCAAAGAGAAAAAATCTGCGTGTCACAGCTTGACTGACTTGTCACCCAGAAAAAGATATGTATAAAATTCAAAATTACAAAGTATTACAGGCAGCGGAAAGGGACTATAGAAAAAGAATGTGCATGTGGCCCATGACAGCAAATAATAAAATAGCAACTCTGAAAACATATAAATATATTCTTAACAGGAATCGTTCAACATTCATGAGAGCAACACAATCAGCACATCCAGTTTAATATAAAAGTTTTAGACAATATACGCAGGTTATCGCTTGTTAATTTCCATTTGTTCATATCACTTGGAAGACAGTAATGTGGCGATTCATATTCATAGTTTGTGCTAAGAGATGGTACATGCCAAGTACCCGTATACCGAGTGACTCGACTGGCAAGATTAGGTTGAAAGGATGCCAAAGTGGTCCTTCTCAGAGCCATTAACCTTCTTCTGCAGAGGTTGTCTCGCAAGCACGTCGGAGCACGTCGTCAGGCTGTGCTCATCCTTTACGTACGACTACTGCTTCAGTGACAGTTGCCGTGTGACCAGTGTAGTGTTGCTGGGCAGAGCCTCTGTGCTGTGACATCGCTGAAGTGTCTAAGTATACAGATGGTGCCCACTGTTACTTACTAGCATGGAGGAGCTGGATAGAGGCCCATTCTCATTCTCTTTGAATCTGCAAGTTGACTTGTTTGGATCAGGTGCACCTCTTGCTCGGGTGTCCCCAATACTTGTTTAGTTTAGGGAAGTTGCCTGGTAATATCATCATCATCGTCATCAGCCTGACTACGTCCACTGCAGGACAAAGGCCTCTCCCACGTTCCGCCAGTTAACCCGGTCCTGTGCTTGCTGCTGCCAATTTATACCCGCAAACTTCTTAACCTCATGTGCCCACCTAACCTTCTGTCTCCCCCTAACCCGCTTGCCTTCCCTGGTATTATATGTCCTACAAAAGTGGGCAGTTAGCTGAGGCATTAGTAGCAGGGGTTGCTTTTGAATGGGAGCAACGAAGCCGTAGTGGTTAAAAGCCAGAGTCTCTTTCTTGGTCTTGTGAGCTTTGTGACTAGCTACAGTTGATAATATTGAAATTAACTGGATGCACTGCAGCAGGATGCCGAGATGGAGGAAGGTGAGCTGAGCGACAGCCAGCAGCCCCTATGGCCTCCCCTCGAGGGCAGCACGGAGCCCGTGGAGGACGTCCTGCCTCTGCTCACCAGCTCCCTCTGGTAGGTCACAACAAACACTCCTCTTATATATGCAGCATATTTGCTGACACGGGAGCTCCTTTCTCATCATATTAAGGCCCCGCCGCGGTGGTCTAGTGGCTAAGGTACTCGGCTGCTGACCCGCAGGTCGCGGGTTCAAATCCCGGCTGCGGCGGCTGCATTTCCGATGGAGGCGGAAATGTTGTAGGCCCGTGTGCTCAGATTTGGGCGCACGTTAAAGAACCCCAGGTGGTCGAAATTTCCGGAGCCCTCCACTACGGCGTCTCTCATAATCAAATGGTGGTTTTGGGACGTTAAACCCCACATATCAATCAATCAATCATCATATTAAGCCGTCTTCACTGCTGCTGGAGATTAATATGTTTAGGAAAGTTGTTCGTGTCGCCTCCTTCAAATACCACTTTTTATATCTGCATTTCTTCAAGAAAGACCTGCAAAGAGAAGATGAAATTATCTCACTCAGACTGGTTTTGTCCATCTGGTGCCACATGCTGCATCCACCATGGGGGTTACATGGCTCAGTCCAAAGGTCACGGGTCGCATCTCAATTGATTGATTGATTGATTGATATGTGGGGTTTAACGTCCCAAAACCACCATATGATTATGAGAGACGCCGTAGTGAAGGTCTCCGGAAATTTCGACCACCTGGGGTTCTTTAACGTGCGCCCAAATCTGAGCACAGCATCTCAATTGAGGTCCAATGGTAAAGGCTTGTGTAGCGCGCAATGTCGGTGCACATTAAAGGTTTGAATTTCCAGGGCCCTCTATTGCAACATCTCTATTATGCTTTTGGGATGTAAAGTCCCAGATAATGTTAGAGTGGAACACCTTTATAAGAAACACTGATATAAAAGACGAAATGGATATAAGAGACACCAGTGTGCCTACAGTAAAGTACGGGTTGATAGGAAAATGCATTCAAGGTTCCCTGTTTATAAGAGACATCTTGTATAAAAGACAAGAAGTGCTGCCCAGAGCATGCCTCTTATAAAGGGTATTATGTCGTATGCTGGCAGGGTGTCTGCCAACCTCGAAATAATTTTATGATGGTTTTTTGATGCATGCCATAAGAAAGGCACAGCATACTTAGTTACGCCTAAATAAGTGACGTAAGCGGCAAGAGCACATTGTCGGAAGCGTCCCATCACTCCTGTTCAGCGTATGTACAGCCGTCTGTATCTACTCATGCCTTTTATTATTATTATTATTATTATTATTATTATTATTATTATTATTATTATTATTGGTGCTGCAACAGCATCATCCTCAGCTACACACTTATTCCTGGTGGCGCGTGTTTCAAGGGTAGCACTTGGGTAACTTCAGCTAAATTTTTCATTTCAGAAAACTTCTTCACAAAGCAAAAATCGTAATGCGCAAGTTCTGCAATCCTCGTAAAGGTGCTCATAAATTCTTAGCAGAGCTTCTAACACAAGTGCTGGCAAATTATAAAAAAGCTTCGAAGTTGTTTCCCCATTTTTTTGCAGGTTTTGCATGTTAACAGCATCAAGAATCTGGACAGTTAGAATGACACCACTGGAAAATTACCCCTTCTTGGTGTGTGAAACTTTGCAGAGAGATAGAAAAATGCCTGTGGAAACCAAATATATCAGTTTTAAAAATGAAATTTTTTGTCTCTTCTCGGTCCCAAAAACCAGTCTGCCCCCTTGAAGGAATTAATTATACTAATCATTTTATTATTATCTGTAGGTCTGAGATGTAACCTCAGCTGTTTTTATTTATTGCATTTGCTGCCTTTCGGTAACATGTACTGACTACTAGGCTATTAAATAATTGAATGCTTTTCCAAGTTCTGAACCCTTGACAAGTGTGTCATTTAGCATCAGTTCTTTAACACTTTTTCTGCAAAATGTGAGAAACTCACAATTACTCTATCTTTTTCCACGTAACATTAGGCTTGGTCTTTTCATGCTGCTCAGAAGCACTACAAGACTATGAACATTTTGTTTTTTGTAGCCAGGCATTCATTTTATTCTCATGTTGTTTAAAGTTAGCCCAATTTAAAAATCAGTGAAAAGCTTTTTTTCTTATCCTTTTTGTGCACTCATGTATGCGACTGACTCTTGTTCTTTCTTTCAGCCTGAGTGTCTGTGAAAGAAGAAATAAATTGTTATACCGCTCATCTGATGTCTTAGCTCGAGTTATGTAATTGCAAATCATCATTTCTGGTCTTTAACTAATGTTGTCGAAATTGTGTCCACTGTTGCTCTGTTCTAATCTGATGTTTGAGCATTAATTAACTCTACATTTGTGAGGCTTACTGAATAAATATGTAGGCAAATTATCAGTGATGTCGGAAAATTGACTCCTTTTTCACTGTGTTGTCGGTAGGTTTGTGATTGATTCCAGGGTGTTTGTGCAGGTGCTGAATATATGTGAGGTATTTTAAAACTCTGCCACATTTACTCACTTGAGGTCTGCAACATGTTAACGAATGATTGTGGTTTGGAATTGCCAGGCTTGTGCGAATGTTGTAAACTGTACCCATAAACGAATTAGGTTTTATGCTTCTTAGTGTTCTTGAGGACGCATAATCTAGTCAATCTGGCGCCGCAGAAAAAAGAACTTTGACAGTTGCCCGTTCATAGATATGTTTGAGATGGGCTGCAGAACCGATAATGTATGAAATAACTGTGATTTTATAATTGGAAGGTGGTTCTCTGCAGTGCCATGTGGTTCAGAAGGCCTTCAGCAATGCTAACGAGTTTACGCTTTCACCCTGTATCATGTCATACCAACAACCCCAAATAGTGAACCCCCATTCAAGGATGAATAGAAAGATGAACATGCCACCTACTAGAGAATAAAAAATGTACTAAGCTTGTGTGAATAGTGAATTCTAGGTTCGTAGCGAAAGCCATTTAGATGAATAATTTCAAATCAAATAGGAACAGTATAAATTGCATGGAATACAGAAAAAATGGGCATGCTTGTCAAGATCTAACTGACCTTCACTACTTTTTTTTATTTATTCGATTAATGCCTGTGCAAATGACAGCTCTTGACTTTTAGTAGAATGCAAGTTTACCAGTAAAATATGTCAAGTTTTAAAATTTACTATATTTAGAGCATACGAGCTGGTATAACAAGCTTTTAATCTTGATAATGATGTATCGATGTGATGGTACCATCCACTTAACCTTGAGGTGATGTTTTGCGGTAGTGCAGATTTCTCCTGGGCAGGTGTTTTCACAGCTTACACCCTTCACATCAGTGAAACCACCCTTGCAAAAGGTTACATGTGGACTAATATACACCTATTCATTCATTTCGAATACATACTTTGAAATTGTCATTAATATTTTAAATCCAAATCGAAGGGAATCGGGATACTGTAATATTTGTTTGAATATTCGAAGCATTTGAATATTCAAACAAGCCTAATAAGACTCTTTGGCACCCAGCCTTGTCTGTGCAGATTATCATTTTTGCAGTTGAGCATACTGTGGGCATTTAGTATACCCATCCTCTTCACCTGTACATTATCATCATTATCATGTGTTGCTCATGCATCCTCTTTGTTGTCGCGTCGCATCATCATCTTGGTTCATCCAAACCAAGACTTCATACGTGGTGGAGCGTGCTGATAGATCCCCCGCCGTCCTCTCGACAACTCTACCCCCTGGAGCTACGTACAGGTCGCCGCTTGGGCCAGGTGTCCGGAAATGTGTCGCACCAAGATGAGGTCGGTGCTGCAGCCGTTCCCACTCCACCACCGCGTGCCGCACCTTCTCACGTCATCAACAGCCTCCAGCGTGAGCCCCATCTCTTCGCTGGTATGGGCGGGGAAGATGTGGAGGAATGGCTGGACGACTTCGAACGTTTCGGCGCTGCTATCTGGTGGGATAACACCTACAAACTCGCTCACGTCTCATTCTACCTCACAGGTGTCGTGAAGACGTGGTCAACCACTTCATCGACATCCCCGACTGGTTAGCCTTCAAAGATCAGCTTCGCCATGTCTTTGGCACACCGGCTGTTTGTTCGGCTCTCGCAAAGAAAGCTCTTGCGACTCGGAAACAGCACATCGGGGAGTATACATCCTACATCAAGGATGTACTTTCACTTTGCCGCCGGGTTGACACACCAATGACAGAGTCAGACAAGGTACGCCAGCTTCTTAAGGGGATTGCACCTGTCGCATTTAATGCCCTTGCAATCCAGAATGCGGCTACCGTTGTTGACGTTGCGACAACCTGTCAGCGCCTCGAAGAACTTGAAGCTATGCGCTTACAACCGGACAGTGATGCGGCCCGTATTACAGCGGATCCAAATCTACGAGACACGATAAGGGTGATTATACGCGAAAAATTAGAATCAATGGGATACACACTACCTTCAGTTTATCTCATTCAGTCTTCTTCAATGTCATTGCGGGATGTAATCAGGGAGGAGCTCACGTCCATGACCCACATGGCCTACCTGCAGCCCACTGTCGCCTGTACTCTCCCATCGTTCCCGCATACCGCCGCCGCGGCACCAGGCACCGTCAGCTGTACGTCCCCGCCACGAACATACCGGTCGGTTGCTGCCGCACCTCCCACAAGCTTTCCCAGGAGCTTTCCATCACCACCCCCTCAGCCATCATCTGTCCCTCTCACTGCTCTCTCTCCCGGTGCAGTTAGCGCAAGCTACTACCCTCCTTATCGATCGACTCGCCCTACGTGCTATTATTGCGGCTATCGTGGTCACATTTCACGCTTTTGCCGCAAGCGCCAGCAAGACGAGCGTCGAGGGTACGACATACGCGAACGGTACTGTACCGCAGGAGCCTTGTACCAGGGCCGCCGTTATTCGTCACTGCCGCATCGGTCTCCATCTCCGCCAGCATCAGGTGAAGTGCGGAGTAGTCATCGATCAACCCGACGCTGTACATCATCGCCCTATCGTCGCTCCTCTTCTCCTCTTCAGCCTGCTTCTCTCGCTTCTTATCGGCGTCCAGAAAACTAAGCGATGCAGTTTTTGGAGGACAAACTG